TATATATATATATATATATATATCTTTTGTAATTTCAGTTAAATCAACATACTTAGCTCCTGAAAGCTGGTGTGGTTCTGAAAACATCTGATTACATGTGCGTTACTGCCGTGGGTAAACTAGTTTTTTGCTTTTCTGCATATTGGAAACAGAATTTTGCAAAATTCTCTTTGTTCTTGCAATCAACCCTGGAAGCATTTCCCCAACATCGCTTCAAATTTTCATCTCTGAGTGGTTCACCATGATTCCCTGAATCAAGCATTTTCCCTGCAACCACCTCTCTTCACTGTTTCCACAATCCCGAATCCACAGGCCTGAAGGGAAATTAAAATTGCTGCCAAAATGAGGCAGGCAGTTAATTTCTTAATTGGAATTCAAAGTTCTGTCCTCCCCAGAGGATTATCCTTAAGGAAGTTGGTGGTTGTGGCTTGGGTAGAATTGAGGCTCCAAAGGGAGGGGGGCTGATTCTGTGAGGTCTGTTGATGGTCGAGAGAGATAGTGGGTTTGTTTGTGTGCATGTGTGTGTAGTGCGTTTAGTCAGAAGGGAGGGGCTCAAAAATCAATCAAGTGTGTGAAGAGAGATGTCATCAGATGAGCTACTTATCCCAGCTATTAGGCACACTGTTTATCAAAGAAAGAGGAAGAAGCTCATCCCAGAGCCTGTTTATGTGGTTTTAGCCATAGCTTGTAAAACACTGCCTTGACGTAGGGGATTTGCATACTTCATGTTCCCTTGTTTCTCTTTAGCGTCTCTGCTGCTGACCTTTCGTTGCGCTTAGCTGGCTGATAAATGCCATGTAAACTGGCACTTCAGAGTTTATGATTTAATGACTTCATGGGGTTTACGTTATGCTTATAGTGCTAGGGAAGGCTTTTTCTAAAGACCAGTCACCAGTTAAACACTTGTACCTACCACAGATTGCTCGTCCACAGCCAAGACCACACAGAATTTCTTGTGGTTTGTTCAGCTACTTAAATTTTAATGTACCTATTACCTAATGTGTTTCAGTAACTACACGCTTGAATGGTTTACTTCCACTCAGAGCATCCAAGGACAGGTGATTTCATTGCATTGTAATAGTTCATTGTAAACTCAATGCCCCCACTGATGAGTTTCTTTTTCCTCTTCAAGTCTTTGTCAGAATAGGTGCATTAAGATTATAATTGCATTCTGCAGTGCACTGGGGAGCATCATCAGCGTGCAATCAGGACAGCAATTTTTATGCAGTTTATTTCTAGTGCACTAAGTATGTATTCCACAGCTATACAGCCATATACACTCTTAAAGCAGACAAAGCAGTTATAACTGAAGAAATAGATTAAACCATAATGATGTTTTTGCCAGATCAGTTACCGTTAGGTTGGTGTTATTGATTTAGTTGTTACATTGTTATTAAGTGAATTAATCAAAATGAGTGCTCTTCCTCAAACAATTTGATTACTGCATATTAATTTATTTATGCCAGCGTGATCTGTGAGGTTTGCATTAAGAAGCACATGCATCCACAGTGTGCTTACAGTTTCTCCCTGATACATCTTCAGTGAGGTTCTTGGGGTCATGAGGTGTTTTGGATCTTTTAGCATCAGACCTCCTCACCCAGATGCCACAAATGGGGTTGGCTCTCTGTCTTCCGTCTCCTGTAGCGCCCAGTTGCTTGCACTTTGAAGAGTGAACATCCTGCAAAACCTCCACAGCTAACCTCTTTGGGCTCACAGAGCATCTTCCAGCCTCTGTCCTGGCACTTCTCCAACAGCTCCTAGTACTTTGCGTGCTTCTTCTCGTTTACTCTTCCCACATGCTCTTCCCAGGGCCCTCTAAGTTCTTGAATGATCAAGTGTTTAGTCGGTGGCCTGAGTGATTGCGTGACAGTGTCTTGCAGAAAATACAGCTGTTTATCCAGGTCCATGCTCAGCTGCTAGTGGAGGGCTACATTCACTTTTCTTTTTACCTTTCTTTCTCTGGAGTATTTTGTTATTATTTTCTTCTAGCTGATAATATCTCATAAAGAATCACACATTGTTATTAATGAGGATGGATCCATGGCTGATCAGGCAGCTAATCATCTACACAGTAAGGGTTTCTACACCGGGACCAGTAGTTTGTCAGCCATAATTGGCACCAAAAACTGGTTTAATGAGGACAAGATGTGAGCATGCAGCTAAACTGAAGCAAATGGGTATCCGGTCGGCACTGAGAATGTTTTTTTTTTTGTTTTTTTTTGCCAGGCACTAACTATTAGGCTACCGTTGGCCTCCTACTCCAGGATTGTAGTCTTTCCCTGATCTTGTGGTTCATTCTTTGACGAACAGAAGTGTGGGAAATGGTTGAGATTTCTTCCATTTAGTCTGTCTCATGCATGAAACAAGTAAATTGGCATATGAAAATGTGGAATATTTTGAATTACAACAGACAGAAGATACAGTAGGATTAAATACAGTTTTCATCATCTGTAAGCACAAGGGACAGCAGCTGGTTTTAGTCCAGGAGTTCTTCTGTTTTTCATTTTTTCCAACAACTGATGGATTCAGAGCCAGTCCTATAAGGTCACGGTGAACTGCACAAAGATAATTGCTAGAGTAATTGGCCGGATTAGGGCTATAGGAAGATGCCCTGCAATTGAAGACTTATGCGCACAACTTCTTAAAGATTGCACTGCTTTGGCTCCTAGTGTGGAGAACCAGCGGGCTCAGGGTCTTCCAGCATCAATTAAAGATTGCGTGTTATGGCACTGATGGGAGTAATCATGCATTATTTAACAAAACAGCTCCAGAGGCACAGTAGAGACAAGATATCGTGAAGGATCCTAGAGAGAGTGAAAAGGAAACGATTGGAGGAGGAACTGGAGAGAAGGGGAGTTATGATGACATGCAAGATGGCTGTTCTCCACCAGAGCAACTTTGGTGATGACAGGTTGTACTTGTCAAGCAGCTCGGCTGGCCAAACGTACTTCCCGACAACGGCAAACATCTGCTGTTAGTGAAGACGTGGCAGAGACATGTTTATCTTGTCAGATAGGTGCAGGTGATGAATGTGAGAAGCTGACTGAATGTGAATTAAGGACACAGTATAAACTCACGGGTGATGTATTTATTTTTATAAAGGCTGCTTTTATATCAAATCACACGTACTTATCTTCATGATGAACTCTGGTTACCCTGTTTTAGAATTTTCTGTTTCCCTGTTTTTGGCATCCATTTCTGTATTTCTGAGTAAAGAAAGACTGCAGCCACAATTATTTATTAAAGGGTTTGAAATGTTTTGTTTTATGCATAAACGTGATGATACATTTAAAGGAAAGGTAAATTAATCATACTAATACCAGAACTTGAAGCAAATGCAGTAAATCCATTAATGGATTATCTGACAAGTGTTTGCCTGTATTGCTTTTTATTTTCTCTTTTCCTCAGTGCATCATATGAATGATGATCCAATTCGAGTGCAGTTAAACATTCACCTGTTGTGATAAAGAAATTAAGGGTTTTCTCAATAAGGAAGTAATCTATTCCTCAACCTCAGTTCCAAAACAGTGGGACACTGTGAAATGTAAATAATAACGGAATGCAATGATTTGCAAATCACATAAACAAATAAACATCTCAAAAAAGCTGGGACGTGTTCATGTTTACTGCTGTGTAGCATCCTCTCTTCTTTTAACAACAGTCTGTAAACATCTGGGAAGTGAGGAGAGCAGCTGCTGGACTTTTGGAAAAGGAACGATGTCCTGTCTGATATAAGATTGTAGCTGCCTGATTATTCTAGGTCTTCTTTGTTGTGTTTTTTGCTTCATGATTCGCTGAATGTTTTCAATCAGTGAAAGGCAGGCCTGGTCAGCACCCAGACTCTGCCATTATGTAGTCATGCTGTTGGAATTGATGCAGTATGCGGTTTAGCATCATCTTGCTGAAATATGTAACGTCTGTCCCGATGTCCTCTGGATGGGAGCATATGTTGCTTTGAATCTCAGCATTAATGGTGCCTTTCCAGGTGTTTAGACTGCCAATTCATTAGGCACCCCCATACCATCAGATCTGCAGGCTTTTAAACTGAATGCTGATAACACGCCTGACCTTCTCCTTCTTAGTGTGGAAGTCATGGGAGCAATGTTTTCCACACATAATTTTATATTCCAACTTGTTAAACCACAGAACAGTTTTCCACTTTGCCTCTGACCATTTTAAATGACCTTTGGCCCAGAGAAGAAAGAAGTGTTTCTGGATCATGTTCAAATATGGCTTCTTCTTTGCAGGACTTTTAATCTGCATTTTTGGATGCAACAGCAAATTGTGTTCATAGACAATGATTTCTGGAAGTGTTCCTGAGCCCATGGTGTAAGATCCATGTCTGTTTTTAATGCACTGGTGCCCGAGGGCCCGAAGATCACAGGCATCCAATAATGATTTTCCACAGCGATTTCTCCAGACTCTCGAAATATTTTGATGATATTAGGTACTGTAGATGACGAGACATTCAAAGTTGTAGTAATTTTATAATAACAAGTATTACTGTGAAACTGTTCCACAAAATATAGATAATTTTTTGCACATTGGTGAAGCCCTGCCCATCTTTACTCTTGAGAAACTTGCTTTTTCCGGCTTTTTGTTGCTCCGTCCCCATTTTTTTTTTTGAGATGTGTTGCTGTCATCAAATACAAAATGAACTAATATTATTCAGAGAATATTTAAAATGTTTCAGTTCAAACATCTGACTTTGTTTTCTACGTTCTTCTGTGAATAAGATATGGGGTTATGAGATTTGCAAATCATTGCATTCCATTTTTTATTTACATTGTAGAATCCTAACTTTTTTAAAGCTGGGATTGTAAGGTAGTTTTCTTCTTTATTAATAAAAAAGGGAATTGACAATAGTTGAATATTTAACTGCACTTGAATTGGATCATGTTCTTTTCATTTTATTTAGTTAATTCTTAGCAATTAACAACTTTATAAAACCCATTAGAAAAATAATATTTTTGCCTCACTGCTTCAGGGAAGTCCTGAAAGCTGTAATCCGATTAATCTAAATATAAGAAATGCCAAAAGTTCAAAAACATTAGCTCATTAAAAAATTCTAGCCGGTGGTGCTCAGTGCTCTGTCCTTTATGCACTACAAAATTTAAGATTGAACTCCTGTTACAACAGAAAGAAATCATTAATAGAGCAGGGCAATATGACCAAAAATATTTATCACGATATAATTTGAAAATTTGCGATAACGATATAACCGATGATATAATTGACACAAGACAAAATACTTTACAACTCCGCAATTTTTTTTTAGTGCAAAAAAACCATCAATGTATTTTCACTTAAACAAGCAGCTTTTTTTTAATCTGCATTAAAGTTATATAAACATTTAACAGTGCAAATGCAAATTCCAGTTTAACCAAAAGACATTTCCAGTGGAAACTGGCCGACATATCCTCAGCATAACCATGTTTAATATCCACAACACTTAAAAAGAGGTTATACACACACAGTACGGTAACATTCTGTTGAAGCACAGCACGTATCACTCCGCGAGGCTCCGCCTACGATAGCCGTGATGCTCCAACAATCCATCAAGCGGTGCGGCTTCGTAGCTCAGCAAAGTCGTACTGAAACATTTGACAGATTTTTGAGCGCCGTGCACATAAAATCGTTTCGAGGTCAGTAAACACAACCAGAGTTCATACATAAGGCACACGGGGTTATAAGGGGCTCTGTCGACTGTCAGACAAATCAAAGGATTGATTTTAAGTGCGCCGTATTTTCCAAACAACACGGTAATAACGACGGCCCGCTAGCATGCGCTACCAAAAATAGTGCTTTGTTGTGTGTCTGACGGGGGAAAGCTAAACCAGTTCCACACCAGTGAAGTTGCAGCATTTTTACAAACCAGTTCTGGTTCATCCATTTTTATTCAACGTTCCGCTTTCGCCCTTCTCATTCGCCGCCATGCTTTTTCCGCCATCTGCGTATGAAAACAAAGGCACTGCGCATGCGCGTTTTACCCATATTGCGATATTTCATTTTCTTATCGTTGTCCAACATTATACCGGTATTACCGTGAACGGTATAATATGGCCCAGCCCTAATCATTAATGTATTAATGATAATGCAAAGTGGTAAGGCACATGGTCCAGATGTTAGCTAACTGAAATTAAATTATGGGGGATTTTACAAGAAAATGATCACACTCTCATTTCATCTTCCTAAATCTGTTTTTAAAAAGATATCATTTCATTTATATTAAATGAAAAAGAGCTCTTAACTATATATGGAGCTACAACAGTGGCATAAGCTAAAGGAAGGCATAGCTCTTCCATATCTTGGCTGCTAACATTTCAAATGTTCAAAAATGATTTATATTGTGTTTTCTATTCCAAATACAGACTGATGCTATTTTGAAAGCACATTGCACAGCTCTGATTACCTCAAGTTCCTATTTTACAGTTTACTAACAACTCCAGACATGATTGATACTTCCAAAAAAGTGTGTATTACATATGTTTCTATTCCAGTTTAGGCATTGGTTCTCTGTGGTATAACTCTGTGGTATAACAAAAGACACCTATAACACACCTTTACATTTCAGTATTGCAAGGTACGATATAGCGAACATCAAGGCACAATAATTTTTGTCAAAATGACATTAATGCAGTGCAGGCTTGTTTTTGTCTCCACTTAAACTGCATTACCATCAGAAGATTATGTAACACTGATTTAAAAAAGAAAGAAAGATGTAGACTTGTTTTCAATCATGGTCTGCACATCTTGAGCAAGTTGGTTGGCGCTTTGTGGAAATCCACAGTAAGCAACTCCTCACGGTGGTAGAGGGAAAAAGGACAGAGTAGGACCCATTTTTAGGCTGTGTTTTGATCCCAGAGAGGAGCTGCAGTTCACTCCTTTGCAATTCAGTTCAATTTTATTTATATAGTGCATAATCACAAGAATGGTGTTTGAGGCAACTGTTGTTGAAGAGGAGTATAATTTTGAGGTGAAACTCGAGTCTTCACTTTTTTGTATCTTACTAAAAAGCTTTAAAATGAGTTGGACAAAGGTATAATAGGGAGTGCATTGAACAGAATGTGAGAAATAGACAGGCGAGGACAATACAGGGGAAGCAGGCTAAGGCCAACAGTAAGCATATGTGTTTGGTTCTAGTCCACAGCCCTGCGTGTCAGTCGCAATCTGTAGGAACGCTGTGTGTGCCAAGCAGCAAGACTAAATATCCTCTAATGATGTCTAGTCTCTCAAAAAGCCCTCTCACTGAACCAAGTTTACTGTTGGAACAATAATGGAACCCCCCCCCCCCCCCCCCAAAACCCCAATCCAGTTTAGATAGAAGAAAGGACTTTTGACATTTAGGAGCTGTGTGAGCTGCAGTTATCTCCAGAGGCTTCACTGGAGGCTTGCTTGGTTCATATAATCAGTCAGAGGTTAAGCTCTTGCACCCTGGATGGAGGGCATCCAGTCGAATGTGTGACTGTGCTTAACTGTCATTGGAGCTGCAGTTAAAAAAGCCCGGACGCTGATTAATTACACCATCGTGCTTCCCCCCAATTCCATCCATCCACGTAAAGTCAGCTCAGTATGTTTTGGCGTGCGTTCTAGAGATAAAACTGTGCAAAACAAATTACAGGGAAACACTGCATATGCCAGAAGACAATGCATCCAATGCAAACGCTTCCCAGACATGAACAAAGGGGCTCCCAGTTTTTGTGGCCCGAAGCGTACTGGCAGGAGATTGATTTGCGCTAACAGGGAGAATTTGAAAACATCCAGAATGTTGGCATGACTGATTATGTCTGGTGAGAAAGTGCATGTCAGTGTTTGTGTTTGGTCTGTTCTTTAATGTGTATGTATGGGGGGGAGGGTTGGATGTGCCAAAACTTTAGCATGCAATGCATGTACTGTATATGAGCATGTGCGTTTGAGGTTGTGCAGAATTCTCAAGCGCTGGACTCCACAGCCCCCTCTGGTCTCTGCGGTAATTTTCCTGTTTCCCTTCATTCTCAAAAGAAGCAGACGTCTAATAAAAACCACCTCTCCATTAAGTGATTCCTAGAAGGACCAATGAATGGTTAATGTTCCAAGCAGTGACCCAGAGTTAAAAAAATCAGCTGCCAAAGGATGCTGCTTTCAGACTATGTCAGACTTGATTTCATTTTTTATGACATATTCTATCTAATATTGTTTAAATAAAGATAGAATAATACTAGATTGCAACTTCGTATTTATCTTGCAATCTGACAACTGGAATAGCCTGAGAATAGTTTTGAATTCTTGTACAGTGCCGTATGTACCACAGTGGTTAGAAGCCATTAACGGCATGTCAAAAGGACACGAAGCACAGGATCGGCTTAAAGTTTCAATTTGATCCAAACAAAACAATTCCATTAAAGACCACATTTCACCTCAGATGTTTTTATGTCAGGCTGTTACTGTCTTTGGCATTATTTCAATGAGGCCATAACTTCTTAGACTTCTGGGCCAAACTCAACGTTAGAAAATTATTGCTACACAGTAAGAATTATATCTTTACACGGTGCCCAAAATTTGTGCTTAACCTCCCAAGACCCCGAGCCCTCATATGGGGGACATTACATTTTGTTTTATTCTTTTTGTAATAGGTTTCTTCCTGCTAAAAGGGAGTTTTTCCTCCCCAGTGTTGCCAGTGCTTGCTCATTTGTTGTTTGTTAGGGTTTTTCCTCTATTTTTTAGGGTCTTTACCTTAAAGTCTAAAGCACCTTGAGGAGACTCTTGTTGTGATTTGAGGATATATAAATAGAACTGAAGGTTAAGGGAATTGTTCATTTTTCTGCGTTCTAACAAGCATTTTCCACTCTTTGTAATGTTTGGGGTTTTTCCCTCCTCCTTTTTCAGATCAAGAAAGCGTATCGACAGAAAGCGTTAACATGCCATCCAGACAAGAACCCAGACAACCCAAAAGCAGGTGAGTGAGACAGTTTTTGTTTTGCATTTACTGTTTTCTCACATGATCTCCAAACCTTATCTGACAGAGATGCATATAAAGATGCAGATGATTGGATGCATAGAAGTTCTGGTGTAGATCCACATCTCTTGGCTTACTAGCTGCGCACTTGGTAATAGTGCAGGTAATTGTCAGATTCAGAGCAGGTGAGTGTAGTGGTGAGAATACATCTCCTTTTGAGGGCTATGTGGGAGGAAGTACAACCTTAGAAAATTTCCCTCCCTGTGTGTCCCAGGTTCATGTGTCTTCTGTCTCCATTCTGAGGCATTGACCGTTGCCACTGAGGAGTTAGTTATGACCACTCACTGAGTTGCCATTAAGGTCCAGGGCCAAAAATGAATGCTCCAGAGTCACATTCTCACAGCGTTAAACTCTGCCAGATGTCCTGGCCACAGCACTCTGTCGCAAGGCAACCAGCGCATGTTTCTCCCGCCAGCTTTTTAGCTAGAAAAACATGGCCAGCATCACCATCCTCACCACCCTCTGTCCTCCCTGGGTTCATGTGTCCTTCTGCAGCTTGGTGCCAACCAGCATGTCAACAATTAGACCAGAAAATCTCAGCATAGCTTTTTGTCAATAGGGGAAAAATGCACCTTGGACAAGAAGCTGGTCACGAGGTATGTTTTCAAGTTAGGTTTATGTGGTTTCTGGATGGTTCAGACAATTTCTGATTATGTCAGGAAAAAAAGGAAATTGGTAGGGTTGAGAGGGATAACACAAAAGCAGGGGGTCGGTTTCCCAGAAATGGAAAAGTAGTGGTTTGGAGGCCCTCAACACTCGAACCCGCGCATGAAGAGAATTGGACTCTATCGCACGAGAGCGGAGCAAGTCTTGGGACTTGCTGCCCCTCAGGGGAGGGTTGTTTGCATGTAAGAGGTGACATAGGGGTCACAATTCTTCACTGATTGACGATACCCCTCCCCACTATCCCCTCTAAATACCCCATATTGTGACACTCGGAGGTGCCTGGTGGGCATGGCAGGTTTCCCCCAGTTGGATTTCATTCCAGCCCATTATATGCATGTAGGTAACCTGACCGCCTCTGCTGGCAGCGCGATCTCGAGAGCCTTCTGTTAGTGTGCAATGCCAGTCCCCACAGGGAGTAACAGTATCAGTCTGTTAGGCCTCCCATAAGTGAATGATTAAGCCTGGCTAGTATCGTGCAGTAATGTGCTGCTTGGAGGACAAGCTGGGGGGACTGTGGTCTCCCAGTGTACATTTGTCCGTGCGTGTGTGTTAAATGACAACTGGTGTAGTGGTATTTGCAGCAGGCTGGGCCAGGGGAATGCACGGCCGTGTCACTGGAGGAAACAAGTTTCGTGAGACCTGCGGCAAATTTTGAGACACAAATGTCGCAGTTTGTATCGGCTCCATGTCCCATCATCTTGAGGCATTCATAGACATAACTCTGCTTTTGGATTAGGTGTCCTGTCCTTCTCAGTCTCCCCGTTTCAGTATAATTTTATGATCTGTCTTTTTTGTTCCAAACTGGCACAATTATCAACCCAATTTTTGTAAACCTTTAGCCACCTTTTTCTTTTTTATAGGTAATATCCCACAAGATAAAAGTTGAAGGCAGTAATGCAAGAAAATGCTCTTATTCTGTCTTTTTTTTTCTTTTAGTTGAGCTCTTCCACCAGTTATCCCAGGCTCTTGAGGTGCTAACTGATGCCGCCGCCAAGGTAAGACCGCTGGTGTCTTGTAACCTCTAATATGGATCCTCAAGTAAACGGAGACACAGCAAGCCCAGCAAGGAGTGATCTTGAAGTCTAACGCTTTTTTTTTCAGGCTGCTTATGACAAGATTTGTGCTGCCAAGAAACAAGCAGAAGAAAGAAACAAGAAACTAGATAGCAAGAGAAAGAAAATTAAACTTGGTGAGTCATTTTTCTGCCGCATCCCAGAGATTATTTAGTGATATTATCTTGTGTTTCTTTCTAATTATCAAGTTTTAATGCTGAAGTACTGTTTCCTCTTTAAAGAATAATAATAATAAGTCAGTCAATCAATACTATGAGTATATGATGGAGATGTGGATTAGTTTGTGTGCGTTGTTTTGACAGACTTGGAGGCCAGAGAGCGACAAGCAGAAGCTCAAAGCCAGGAGGAAGTGCAGATCACTAGAACACTCGAGGAAGAGGTATCGCATTTTATATACATCACATTAGCAAAGATACTGCGCTGCAATTTGCCTTAAGAGGCTGCAGAAAATTTTAAATTTCACTATACTGCAGGTATAAGTGCTGCATCTAGGAAAACTAAAGCACACCCTGGTGCTTTCATTCTGTTTTTCATCAAATAGTTTTTCCTGATTGAGTTGAACTCTTCCAAATACTTGGGTCACGAACAAAGGCTCTGTCTAAGAGCTCCTCTCTTTATTTTGTTTTTTCACAGACATAATTATCAGTAAGGTCATTAAGGTGATATTGCATGACTCGGTGCAGTTTGTGCAGAACACCCATAAATAAAAATGGTGTGCATGCTTCCACTGTGAGTAATTTCCATATGCTCAAGGTGCTTCATGCATATACATAAGGAAGGAGGCCATAACCAGCAGGTGGCACTATTCCATTTTCTGACTTCATCGAGGCATTAGTGCCTTAAGTGATGAAACAAGCTGGTTTGTATAGCCTCCTTGAGTAGAGGACATAAACACAGAATTGCAGAGCAATAAAGCTGATCATATTCCAACAACATGTGCTGTCACGTAACACTTGGCCACCTGTTCATTCACATTTCTGCATTTTATGTGCACCTTCTCCAAGATTGCCCGCTTGAGGGAGGAGGGATCCAGACAGCTTGAAGAGGAGCAGAGGCTCATCAGAGAGCAGATCCAGAGAGAAAGAGAAGCACATCAACACGGAGGAGACCACACTCAGAGAAGTACATGCATGTGACCAATCCTTGCTGGTCTGAGTTAGCTAAACCAGTTTATTGTAGTCCTGACATTTTTATATCATCCCAAAGCCTTGCTGGGGTGAACCCCCTGTGTTTCCCATCCCTCGTCGTGTCAGCACAACCACAGCAGCCACCAGGCTCCCTGTGGCTCACCATGTATTATTCACATGATAGACTATAACAATAACTGAAATTATATTGGAAGAGGTCTGTTTTAGTTTCTTGGCAAGATAGCAAAGGGATGCCAATCACTGCGTACACAGAGCGGTCCATCAAACTTTTAACCTCATGGTAATATTTTTGCAGCAAAAGGAAGGCAGCGTGTATATACTTAGGAAAACAACTGACTGCTGCCCTAAACTAGACCCCTTTTGTGGCCGGACAATTACTAATGCATTGTCAGCATGTCTTCTGCGTCTTTTCCATTTGCACGCACACAGCCCTCCCCTGGATCAGCAAGAGCTATACATTTAACACATGACATCCATTTTAAAATTGCTGTCTATCTGCACTAGTCCCTCGACTGCTCTCTTGCGTATAATATTTCAGGAAAACAATAGTTTCTTTGTTTTTTTCACTTCTCTGTCTCATCCCCCCCCTCTGTTGCGTTTTGTCAGACTCAGGAGTGGAGAGATGTTCCAAGAGCAACGTAACCCCAAAATTGAAGGTAAGGCTCAGAATATGTGAAGAGAGGTCAGGGTTGGGGTGAAATATGTAGTAAGAGGATAATGTAGGTCCCTCAGTAACGTGGAGGAGCGACTGCTATATCTGAGTGAAATTTCAGGCAGGATCTCAGCGGGGAGTTTGATAAAAACCTTTTGCCATTTGTGTTTCATTATTGGAGACCACATAGGTTGCCTCACTACTGAGCACACATGCTATTCTGAAGCCCAGTCCTCTTGAGAGGGCACAGTGCCGTCAGGAGACCAGTATCTAAACTAAGAGAAGGCTTATTATATTTCCTCCTGGAAACAGCAGAGTCTGCCTGTATTAACATGGGATGTTAGCTAATGTGTTTAGACAGTAAATCTGGTTTTAAAATTTGATAGCCATCTAGTGCCGCAGCGTATTCCCTGACGTTTGTGTGTTCAGCTAGAAAAAACAAACAGCGGCCAGACTGACAGCATCACAAATCATGTTGCATGGACAGGGACACGTTTACTGCAAGATTTATCTCAGAGGCTCTGCTTCTATCTCAGATTGCAGCCCTGCGTGCAATCAAAAATATTTTCTTATTAATAATTTATTGGCTTCCCACATCAGATACCTGCATCTGAACGTCTTAAAAGCATAACATGGAATATAATCTCTAGACAGTTAACCACAGCCATTTTTTCTATATTCAAACTGCCCATTGCTTTTCACTATAAAGTTTAATTTGATTTTAGAAAGTTCTCTATGACCTTAGCATAATTATCAGCTGTGTTGATGACTCGCTTTTTGAAGAATAGATCTAAATTTTGAGCAAACGCAGCAGTGTTTCTGTGTTGCAGGCTGAAATCACAGACATCACATCATAAAAATACCTTAGCATTTTATTTGACGATTACCGGGTAAGGAGGTTATCGGTGGGGAGAAGAGAATGCTCTTAGATGGACATTTTCAGCCGTGATTGCTGGTAAAAAGACTCCATTTGCACTTGGAAGTTCCCAGAAATCCTGCTGCTCTGACAGTGAGCAGAATGCTGGAGCTGAATCAACAGTTAGCGCTTGCCATTTATAATACTACTCTGAGCAGTTGCTGTGATATTTGCCTCATTTCCCTGTTCTTTGTACATGCATTTGAGAAGTTACACAATATCTGTCTTGTTTTTTAGGAGTGCAGGAACTCGCATGAGCTTTTAGTGACAGAACTCCAAACGGGGTTCATATGTTTTTCAATTTCTTTTTAAAGACACACTAACATTGTTATGTAAGCAAAGAAGTTGACCACAGTTGACATAGTAGAGGAGGACTTCCTCTCTTTTGCCTGTGACCAAACACGTTCTTAGACATTGAACTGCTTTGGGTTATTTCTTGATTAATTTATGATAGTTAAAGCAAGTGAGTCACCACATTTTCTGTGGTCCAGGTGTCCATGTTTTGAATTTCACTCATTTATCTGGTGCTTTCGGTATGAATGGAAATTGACTGCAGGTCTTGCAGGTGGTGCCATGGTGATGTTCCAAGAGCTTAATAATGTCTTTTTCTCGTAGCTCCAGCGTGTGCTGATGGTTTTTGTAATCTGTGTCTCATCAGAGGCGAGCCCGCCTGGCACGCTTGGCCTCTTTGTCAGCTGACTTTAATCAATGTGTTCTAACGATTAGACATTATCATGCACTTCTTTAGCTCATGAAAACTTTCTTGACTAATATTAGCCTTTCCTCTCTCTTTCTCTCCTCCAGTTGAAGTGGAAGTGTAAAAAAGATGATGAGACAAATGGAGGCTACTCTCATGACATTCTGTTTAAACTTCTACAAAAGGTATGCGTCCTGAAAAGAGAATAAGTAATGCCACAGTGCTGCAAAGTTCTTGATTTATACTGCAAAACAGTTTTCCTTTGCTTTTAGAACTATTTTAAAAAGATTACAACACAATAAAATCATTTAGGTTTGGCATTATACAGTATTGCCTTAAATAACGACTCTTTTTGTATTGCAAATGAGTGTTAAATGAATGCAAAAATTCCCATGAATTTATGAGGTATTTATTTGACTATGTTAGCCAAATGCAATCATTTTCCTCTCTGAAGGGTCTGCAAATTAAATTTCCTGGGGAAAAATACACTGCTGAATTTTTAGGTTTGCTCACTTCCAAAGAAATGCCTCTAAATCCAGAAAAAAAATACATCACATAAGTCACAAGTTATAAATTGATCCCCAAGAAAAACTTAAGTTGGTACTTGATGGAGAAAGCCTTGTAGGAAAGCACAATGGTAAGATGTTTCTTGAAGTCAATAATTCAATTCAGTTTTATTTATACGGCACCAAATCACAATAGCAGTCACCTCAAGTCATTTTATATTAGGTAAAGACCGTACAGTAATATAAATAGTATTATAAATATCTATATGTGATGTTTTTCTTATCAATATTTTTTTCTCAAATGATTACAGAATTACTTGTAATGAAACTTATGAAGTCATTAGTAGTTAAGGTTAAAGGAATGTTTGGTTCAACAGAGCCTGGCTACATGCTGAAGACGAACCAAATCGTTCTTATTTTCTTCAATCAGTGATCAATAGTAAGATGTCCTAGCTTTGTGTGTGAAGAAGACCAAACGCATGAAGAGATTGGAACAGATTTTCTATAGGATTGAGGTCTGGAGACTGGCTAGGCTACTCCGTAATCATAATGGCCTTCTTCTTTAGTTACTCCTTTGTTACGTTGGTGATGTGTTTTGGGTCACTGTCGTGCTGGAAGACCCATCCTTGACTCATGTTAACTGTTCTGGCTGAGAGAAGGAGGTTCTCATCTGGGATTTTGTGGTACATGTCCATTATCCTCTCAGTGTGATGAAAACACAAAAAAAACAGCCCCACAGCATTTTTCTACCTCTGTGCTTGACTGTGGGGATGGCGTTCTTTGGGTCATACTCAGCATCACTTTGCCTCCAAACACGGCAGGGTGAGCTGATGCCAAAGAGCTTTCTCCCAAACCTTCTCTGAATCTTTTAGATCTTCACTGGCAAACTTGCAACAGACCTATACGTGTGCCTTCATTAGCACAAGGACCTTGTTGACACTTCGAGATTACAGTTCATTGTGATGTAGTGTTATAACAAAAATGTTCTTGGTGATTGTGGTCCCAACTGCCTCCAGATCATTAACAAGCTCCACCTGTGCAGTCTTAGGCTGATCAACCACCTTTCTCATGGTCATCCTCACTCCTTGAGGCAAGGTCTTGCATGTCCAAGGACAAATGATGGTCATTTTATATTTCCTTTATTTCCAAATAATCGTAACAGCAGTTGTCAACTTTTCACCAAGCTTCTTGCTGATGGTATTGTAGCCCACTCCAGCTCTTTGGTCTTGCCCATGGTGGTTCTAAAGGTTGGAATGGAAAAATTAGACTCTGTGTACAGTTGCTCTTTAAACGCATAATAAAGTGAAATGAGGAGTATCTGTTATTGATTGATTTTATTTATAAAAACACCCAGCACGCCCCTGCGGGCGGTTTATCCTTCAAGCTCGGGTCCTCTACCAGAGGCCTGGGAGCTTGAGGGTCCTGCGCAGTATCTTAGCTGTT